GTATTAAGAAAAGATGGAGACAGGGCTCCACAACTCTATATTTTGACTGGTTACAGTTTTCTGAAATGATTCTCTTTTACGACAAGGAGTTTCTTTATGAATGGAGAAGTTTAAATTTATCTCAGTATATTCGGAATAATGTTTATAAATTTTTGTTAGATTAGACTAATATACAATATTTTTGTTGTTATATTGGACTGTATTGTTACTATATTTGATTAATAAGTTTAGAGTTGACAGTTTTCCATTACCCATAACTTCAGTAGTACCAAGTAAATTATCTAGGTTTCCAGTACTAGGCACTGCCTTCCTCTGTTTGAACAGGCCATAAGTGCAATTAGAGTGGTATAAGATGCCACAAAGTTATGTGTGGTACCACTGCCCACTTAATGTCATTGTGCTATGCTGTTTATTGATGAGGTTTACATCTATCATAGCTATGTATGACTTTTGATTGTCCTTCTTCATTAGAAGCTTGGCCACTATTTCTGTTTGATTGTTTGAATATTTTGGCCATGTTCTTTTTTACAAATTTTTATTTATTCACTTTACATCCCAAGTACAGTACCCCTCCTACAAGTCCCTCCCCAAATGCCCCTCACCCATCCCTTTAACCACTGAGAAGTGGGAGGTCCCTCATGCGGAATCAACCCACCATGGCCCCTTAAGTCACTGGTTCAGTCTCTAGGAGCCCCTAAGGGTTTAGAGTAGTTGGCTCTGCTGGTGTACTTTTGGTATTCCTATCCCCTCCAGGTTCCTCAATCCTTCCTCCAACTCTGTCACTGTATTTTCTGAGTTCCATCTGATGTTTAGCTGTGGATGTCTGCATTTGTTTTGGTCAGCCCCTGGGTTGGCCTCTCAGAGTACAGTTATGCTAATTTCCTAGTAACAGTATAACAAAGTATGATTAATAGTGTCAAGGATTGGTTCTTGCCAAAGGGATGAATCTCATGTTGGGCCAGGGATTGGTTGGTCATTCTCTCAGTCACTTGACACATTTGTGCCTGCACTTCTTGTAGATAAGACAAATTTGGAGTTAAAGGTTTTATTTAAAGGTAGCGTCATTATCTCTTCACTTGGATTCCTACCTGGATACAGGAGGTGCTCACTTCAGGTTCCATATCACCAACTGCTAAGAGTCTCAGCTACAGTAACCCTTATAGACTCCCAGGAGCCTCCTCCATCCTAGGTTGCAAGTTCATAATAGATATTCCCCCAAAATAATGCTCATGGTACAATGAAATGAAATAGCAGAAAAATTGTAAGAGCCTGATAATCAAGGAGTTTTGTTAAAAAAAGGTTCTACTAATAATGTTAGAAGCGCCATCAATTAATTTCAGTAACCTATGTGTCCAAAATTGAGCTAAACTTGATGGGAAAAAATCCACAAGGACTCCACAAGAGAGGGAGACTGGATCCACAACTTTATATTTTGAGTGGTATGGTTTTCGGAAATGAAAGAACATTATGCACCTGAGGAAAGCTGGAAAAGTAAGATGTGGCCTTTCTCAGGGAAGATCACACCAATTATTTGTGTTTTAACAGAAGGTCTGTTTTGAAAAACATACATCCAGGTAACATTAAACTTACTAATCAGGTTACATTTAAGAATAGATATGCATGTAGTTGTATGAATGCAACAAAATTTAGTAAAAGGGGTATATATACTTAAAAGATATTGCGATGAGTTTTATGGGAAGTTGAAGGAAGAAAGGGAAAGAAAAATATAATTAAATTATAATCAGAAAAAAGAAGAAAGTAGTCATACACCGTACACATGCACACACACGCACACGAACACACACACAGAGAGAGAGAGAGAGAGAGACAGAGACAGTGAGTAAGAGAGAGAGAGAGAGAGAGAGAGAGAGAGAGAGAGAGAGAGAGGAAAATACAGCCATGCACAAACACGTTAACACATACAAGAAAGGAATAGAGAGATTTATACAGGTATGGATAGAGTAGTAATAATAGAGGTAGTGGAGGATTTTAGATTACAGCATGGAGTGTAGGCATTAAAAGTATTAAAACACATGATATTTATATTCAATAAAATATGTTTTAAGAAATGAAAATACTAGTGGGGGAAAATGCAGACTTTTTCGTTTGTGTGTTACCTGGATGCACAGTTTGTTCACTCCTCACACCAGAACTGTATGAGTTCACAAAAACCTGCACACATACACACATGCACACTCATGCACACACATACACACATACACACACACACATATACACACATACACAGACATGCAGAGAGACAGAGACAGACAAAGACAGAGACATACAATTATGGAAATATCTTAGAATTGTTTTTTCATAATATGTTTTAAATTATTTTTTTACCATGATTATATAGTAAGTCATTCCATGTTTATTGGGTATATTACTTTACCAGGGATAAAACACCTCATTTATTTTTTAAACTAATCACATCTTTCTTTAATTTAATCATTGTAATAGATATAAAGTTCTAATCCACTGTGGTGGCCCATGCTCACAAGCGTAGCACTTATAAACAGTGGCACAGCTGTGCACAGCTGTGTAGAAAGTGTTACAAGCTGCACCTGGCAGTTCAAAATCACAGTCACAAGGGCCCAGACAGACCAGTATCTCCCTGGATACAGCAGGATCTTGATTTAAATAGCTAGTTTTGAGATCTCACACTTGATTGGTCCTAAGCCCATTCTTATTATAAATGTACACACTCAGCCATTCATAAACAAATGGAGCTAACATAAGTCCCTGAACACAGGGTTTTTGCCAGTCAGGCTAATGGCTGGATACCCAGCTCTCAGCTGGTTCCAGGCTCAATCCAGGACCTGACTACAACCTACTTAGCAGTAAAGAATAGCTCTTAAGATGTGCCAGGAAAAAGAGCCAGTGGAAATACAGTATAGACTGGTACTTGCTAAGAGACTTCACACTCCTGCTGAATGACTTGCTTCTATTTTCTGTTTAAAAAATGTGTTTCTGCTTCTTATTACACTGCTCTTTTTTCTTTTTAATTTTTTAATAATATTTTATTGGATACTTTATTTACATTTCAGATGCTATCCCCTTACCCCATTCTACCCCCCCCCAGGAATCCCCAATTCCATCCGCTCCTCCTGCTTCTATGAGGATGTGCCTATACCCACCCACTCCCACCTCCCCACCCTCAAATTCCCCCACACTGGGGCATCCAGCCTTCACAGGACAAAGGACCTCCTCTCTCACCTATGCCTGCCAAGGCCATCCTCCCCTACATACACAGCTGAAGCCATGTGTCCCTCCCTATGTGCTACCAGGCTGGTGGTTTAGACCCTGTGAGCTCTGGTTGGTTAATTTTGTAAAATTGTTTAAATTCCATTTCATCACTTTTTCTTCAAAAAATGCACAGGATAATCTAACTGACTTTTTGTGGCATTCCTTAAGAAACGGTATCTCTCAGACAAAAATAGTTAATTCTATTAAAATACAAATCTGAATTTGTATGTTCTTTGAGGTATACTTATCTAACAATACTTACTTATCCTGTGAGTATCTTGCTGTTTTCACTGGTGTATTTTATTAAAACCATTCATTGTTTTGTCTAGTGATTTCTTCAGCAACAAAACATATTTGAAACTGCAATAAGTATAAATATATGCTTTAGGAAGATTGTAATATTTTCTTGAGAAATGATGCATCACCCATGCATCAGACCCACAAAGATGTGGCATTGTGAAGAAACCATGGGTAGGAGGGAAGGAGTCTCTCATGTAGCCTGTTATGTCTAGGCATAGATATTAACTAACTATATATCTGCTTCATTTTAATGTCACAGATTGTCACATAAATGATTTTATAAAACTTATTCATGTTGATAGGATCATGTACAATTTTGAGAAATATGATATAGTTAGAAATCAATGTGATAATGTTAAATAATAATTTTTCATCATTAGTTACAAGTGATGTGTTTTCTTTTCATTCTCATGATCTGTTTTGGAAACATGTTCAACATTATTATATCTGTTAGGATTTTCTATTAGTTCTACCTGTGTATGGTTAGTTCAGTTTTCTCTCACAGAAAATGTGAAACTTAACACAACTCCACTCCCTAGGCCCAAATTTTGTACCTTGCTAGATGTCTACCAAGAGAAAAATCGTAAGCCTTTGGTTCTTCACAGTCTATCTCTTTGTTTTACTCCCATGTACTAAAATGTGTGACCTATACATTGTCTTGTTTAAGATTTTTTTTTGCACATAAAGAAATCTTTATTGAAAAAGGACTCTTCCTCCACTGGGGGGGGGCAAAACAAACAAAAATAATAAAAATGTGCAGGAAACACTCTCTTGACATCAATCCAATTCAATTCAATGGGTGGTTTGGTTTTGCTTTAACCCTTGGCCCCTTTCCCTGAGCATTCAGCCCCATAACTGCCCAGCTGTTTGTTTTCTTGTTCCAGTTCCTGTGTAGAACTGGCCTAAGGCCTTAGCTGTCATTTGCTTGGTTCCCACATCCACCTAATAACAGTGGGACAGTCACACTATCATCCCAGATGCTGGCCAACTCATTCTCCTCTAAACCCCACTTTTCCATTCCTTGGACTCTAACCTAGTAGCTGGTCTGATTTGGTTTCCTTCATCCTACATTTCTGTTTTCACGTTAGTCTGTTCCTCCTGCTTCCCTCTTTCCTCCAATAGAAGCTCTCAAAGCTAACCAGATCTCAGAGCCTCTGTTGAAAGCCAGGATATATGGATCTAGGCAAATCTGCCAGCAGAAACTTCTCCAGAAGTTGGCCGGTATCTTCTGTGGAAGAAAGGACTGGCTCTGATTGCTGACTGGATAATTTCTACTTAACAATCACCTTCCTGTGCTTGTGCTGAACCAAATTGGAATGCTTCTTGCCTGCCAAGTTCAAAGGATGAGCTCATTCTCATAGGCCACTGGGGAAGATGCTCAGGCAGGAATCTTTTACGAAGTACATGTGGCCTGAAAGACTGAAGGAACTCAGCAGTATACCCTTGGGAAATCATTCCCATGACGTGCGGCTATGAGTGTAGCTGTTGCTATGATTGCTGCTGCTGCTGCTGCTGCTGCTGCTAGGATGGCTGTTGCTGGAGCTGCTGCTGCTGCTGCTATTCCTGCTGCTGCTGGTGGTGTGACTGCTGCTGCTGGGATGGCTGTTGCTGCTGCTGCTGCTGCTGGGATGGCTGTTGTTGCTGTTGGGATAGCTGTTGCTGCTACTGCTGTTGCTGCTGCTGTTGCCCGTGTTACTAGGTCTAGGGCCACTTTTGTCTGTGCTACTAGGTCTGGGACCACTGTTGCTGTGGCTACTGCTGCTGCCTATGTTACTAGGTCTGCTGCTGCTGCTGCTGTTGCCTGTGTTACTAGGTCTGGGGCCACTGTTGCCTGTGTTACTAGGTCTAGGGCCACCGTTGCCCCTGTTACTATGTCTGGGGCCACTGTTTCCCATGTTAATAGGTCTGGGGCCGCTGTTGCCCCTGTTACTAGGTCTGGGGCCGCTGTTGCCATGGCTACTGCTGCTGCCTGTGTTACTAGTTCTGCTGCTGCTGCTGCTGTTGTCTGTGTTATTGGATCTGGGGCTGCTGCTGCTTTGGCTGCTGCTGCTGCTGCCTGTGTTACTAGTTCTTATTCTACTGCTGTTGCTGCTAGAGGGGCTGCTGCTGCTGCTGCTGCTGCTGCTGCTGCTGCTGCTGGTGCTGGTGCTGGCGTTGCTGCGGAGGCTGCTGAGACTGCTGCGGCTGCTGTTTCAGCAGCGGCTAAAAGTGTTGTCCATCATCCAGAGAAGTCAGGGGAGGAGGTACCTGGAGGCAGGAACCAATGCAGAGCTCATGGAGGAGCTTCTCACAGGCTTGTTCTTGTTTAAGATTATTATTCCTGGGATTAAACACTATTAACAAAAGCAACTTGAAGAAAGAGTTTATTTAGATTATACATTGTCTTAGGGTTTCTATTGTTGTAAAATGAAGCAATGACCATGGCAAAGCTTATAAAGGAAAATGTTTCATTAGAACTGGCTCATAGTACATAGGTCTAGTCCATTGTCATCAAGTGAAAAAGTACAGCAGCATGCAAGTATGGAGGTGGCAGTTGTGGGGCTATGTGCCTTGCAGCATTCAGTCAAAGTATAGGGAAAGGTCCTTATTCCTGCTGGTCACAAGATGAGTTTTTAGGGTTTTTTTTTTTTTTTTTTTTTGCATTTTCTCAGATTCTTTTTTTTTTCCTTTTTTTTTTTAATTTCTTTTTTTTTTTGAACATGAAATGCTTTTTTATAGCGTGTTTTACAAGGGGAGGGGGTAAGAGGGTCCAGGTGGTGGAAAAGTACAAAATCTTCTTGGCCTGTGCCTTGAAACATGTCATGGTCTATATGGTACACTGCCTTGAATTATGATCTACCTGCAGTTCTTCAGAAGATATGGTACACTGCTTGAGTTATGGTCTCCCTGCTATTCTTAAGAAGACATGGTACTCTGCTTTGAGTCTATCTGCAGTTGCTAAGCAGGATCTTGCAGCTGCCAAGCTTCAGAGGACATTGTGCAGGTGGGGAAAGGTAGGGGGTAAGGGTAAGGGCGAGGGTCCTGGCTTCTGGCATCTCCCCCTTCTCTGTTTAGTTAGAGAAGGCTTCTTATGTTCAATCCCAACTATGTGAGTTTTGAATTTGGATGTCTAATTATGGGGGGTCTTAGACAAGTTCACAACCCCAAAACACTGATGTGAGACAAGTCACATCGATGGTCGAAGGCTTTAGGCTGTCGACGATGGGCAACGTCAAGGGACTCCGATGTGGGTGAAAGGAGGGTGAGAGCCCTGTCTTAGGCCATGTAGGCTGCACCCACTCCCAGCACCACGCACTCCTTTTCGGCTGCATTGGGTGGGCCCCTGGGAAGTGGACCTACAATAATCCCGTCATTGGGCTAACTCACAGCCATCCTAGTCTCTTGTAAATGTTCAAGTTACCAACCATTTGTCAGTTTGGGGTGTAATATTGTCATAAAGGAAGGCTCCCCAATGTTAGCGGCCATATCAAGGGTGGCCTTGGTTTAGGAAAAAGCCAATTTTTGTTGTGGTGATCAAGAGGCCAAGCTCTCTAGCGAGAGAAATGAGGGCAAAGCCAGGCATACCAGGAACCCTTCTGGAGGGCGTGGAAGTCTAGGGGTCGACCGTAGGGGGAGGCAGGGGATCTGACAGTTGAGTCAGTCTCCTGCGGAGTCACTTCTGGATCCTCTGCAATTTTCAGCTGATGGTAATGAACTTCAACTGCCTTCTTGATGGCAGCATCAACCTGGTTCCGTGGACGACAGGTCACGGGCGATGATCTCTGTCTTGCTCAATCTTGATGTCGTGCGCACATCCTCTCAATGAGGGTCTGTCCGGATGGGTCCGTGCCTCGAGCCCCACGTCTGGGTGCCACTTGGCCCGACCGACGGGTCCTGGTTATTCGTGGGGGCGAGGAGGACTGGAACCTGCTATTCTTCAGAAGATATGGTACACTGCTTGAGTTATGGTCTCCCTGCTATTCTTCAGATGATATGGTACACTGCTTTGAGTCTATCTGCAGTTGCCAAGCAGGATCTTGCAGTTGCCCAGCTTCAGGGGACCTTGTGCAGGTGGGAAAAGGTAGGGGGTGAGGGTAAGGGCGAGGCTCCTGGCTTCTGGTCCATCTGGGTTAGAACTTCTAATAGCAGGCATCACGGGTGATTCAATTTTACCTGGAAAGAAAAAAGAAGGGGATTCTCAGGGAGATTTCTCTTCCCTGGATGTAAATTGTTAATCATCGTATTTATGATTGGGCCTGGCTTTGTGAGGGTATCTATTTTTTCCATTAATATTTGTGGTAGCTGGTTAGCTGTGCCTTCTGTGGTATTGGGCAGGCATATCAGTCCTCGGCTCCATAAGGGAACTGGGACTGGGGCATTCCCTTTATGGGTATGAGGGTCCTTCCCCATATCTGTGGCAAAGTTTTGTTGGTCTTGGTGGTGCCCGAGGTCACCAACATGGTCAGCAAGAGATTTGCCATGAGCTTTCAGCTTTAGAGAGAGAAAAGTGAACAAGGCATGATGGAGAGTATTTCAGGGGGACTCCTTCTGAGGGGGTACCGTTCCCCCTCTTTTGTTTTTAAAGCCAATTTTTCAGAGTTCTTGTAAAATCAGGGCAGAAGCGCCAACAGTTGCTCCTTCCACACTCAGAGAGTCATGAAGGCCTTATTTAAGGATATATAAATCTATATTAATAATCTTTTGTCAAAGGACTTTTATAGCTCCACTGACAATTAATCAGACTATATGATATATCGATTAGAAATAGCTTTTTCTACTTTTTGTGAGATTACCTCTCTTTTGTCAATTAACTGTTGAGGAAGTTAGGGTTTACCTCTCTCTTGAGAATATTGAACAGAGATTTAAATTCTTTTGTGGAGAGCTTAAAATAGTATCTTAGCCAATTTGCATCTCCTAGAAACTTTTGAAATTAATTTAAAATAAATAGACTCCCTTTTTTTTAAATCCTTTATCTGTGTGGGGTTTTTATTGGGTATTATACGTATTTACCTTTCAATGTTGTCTCCTTTCTCATTCTCCCCCCAAATCCCTTATCCCCTACCCCTTCCTCCTAATTTTTGTGATGGTGTGCTCCAAACATCCTCCCAGTCCCATCTCCCTGCTCTCGAATTCCAACACAGTAGGGGATCCAAACTTTTGGGGACCTTGGCCCTCCACTTTCAATGGAGTCTAACAAGGTCACCCTCAATTCCCTATACAGGTGCTTGAGTCCCTCCCTTTGTGCTCTCTGGTTGGTGGTTTAGACTTTGGGAGTTCTGGTTGAAACTTTTGATGCTCCTTCTAAAAAGGACCAACGCATTCATATTTTGGTCTTCCTTCTTCTATGTGAGTTTTATGTGGTCTATATGAAGATTCTTAGAAATTGTGAGCTTTTGGGCTAATATCCACTTATCAGTGAGTGCATACCATGTATGTTCCTTTGAGATTGGGTCATCTCACTCAAGATGATATTTTCCAGCTCCATCCATTTGCCTAGGAATTTTGTGAACTGATTGTTTTTAATAGCTGAGTAGTACTCCATTGTATAAATGTACCACATTTTCTGCATCCATTCTTCTGTTGAAGGGCATCTGGGTTCTTTCCAACTTCTGGCTATTATAAATAAGGCTGCTATGAACATGGTGGAGCATGTGTCCCTGTTGTATGTTGAAACTTCTTTTGGGTATATGCCCAGGAGTGGTATAGCTGGGTCCCTAGGTAACGCTATGTTCAATTTTCTGAGATACCGCCAGACTGCCTTCCATAGTGGTTGTACCAGTTTACAATCCCACCAACAGTGGAGGAGTGTTCCTCTTTCTCCACATCCTCGCCAACATGTACTGTCACCTGTGTTTTTGATCTTAGCCATTCTGACTGGTGTGAGGTGGAATCTCAGTGTTGTTTTCATTTGCATTTCCCTGATGACTAGGGATGCTGAACACTTCTTTAGGTGCTTCTCAACCATTCGAGCTTCCTCAGTTGAGAATTCTTTGTTCAGGTCTGTGCTCCATTTTTTAATAGGGTTCTTTGATTGTCTAGAGTCTAATTTCTTCAGTTCTTTGTATACCTTGGATATTAGCCCTTTATCAGATGTAGGGTTGGTGAATATCTTTTCCCAATCTGTTGGTTGCCGCTCTGTCCTATTGACTGTGTCCTTTGCTTTACAGAAGCTTTGCAGCTTTATGAGGTCCCATTTGTCAATTTTTGGTCTTAGAGCACAGGCCATTGGCGTTCTGTTCAGGAACTTTTTTCCCTGTGCCTATGTATTCCAGGCTTTTTCCCAGTTTCTCTTCTATTAGTTTCAGTGTGGCTGGTTTTAGGTGGAAGTCCTTAATCCACTTGGAATTGAGCTTTGTACAAGGAGATAAGTATGGATCAATTTTCATTTTTCTACATGCTGACCACCAGTTGGACCAGCACCATTTGTTGAAAATGCTATCTTTTTTCCATTTGATGGTTTTAGCCCCTTTGTCAAAGATTAAGTTACCATAGGTATGGGGGTTCATTTCTGGGTCTTCTATTCTATTCCACTGATCCTCCTGCCTGTCTCTGTTCCAATACCATGCAGTTTTTATCACTATTGCTTTGTAGTACAGCTTGAAGTCGGGGATGGTGATTCCTCCAGAAGTTCTTTTATTGCTGAGAGTAGTTTTCGCAATCCTGGGTTTTTTGTTATTCCAAATAAATTTTAAGATTGCTCTTTCTATCTCTGAGAAGAATTGAGTGGGAATTTTGATGGGGATTGCATTAAATCTGTAGATGGCTTTTGGCAAAATAGCCATTTTTACTATATTAATCCTTCCAATCCATGAGCATGGGAGATCTTTCCATCTTCTGAGATCGGCTTCGATTTCTTTCTTCAGGGGAATGAAGTTCTTGTCATACAGGTCTTTTACTTGCTTGGTTAGGTTCACACCAAGGTATTTTATATTATCTGTGACTACTTTGAAGGGTGTCATTTCCATAATTTCTTTCTCAGCCAGTTTATCTTTTGAGTAGAGGAAGGCTACTGATTTGCTTGAGTTAATTTTATATCCAGCCACTTTGCTAAAGTTGTTTATCAGGTTTAGGAGTTCTCTGGTGGAAGTTTTGGGGTCACTTAAGTATACTATCATATCATCTGCAAATAGTGAGATTTTGACTTCTTCCTTTCCAATTTGTATCCCTTTGACCTCCTTGTGTTGCCTAATTGCTCTGGCTAGGACTTC